GTGTGTGTCATACTTGCCAACCCTCCCGATTTTCGTGGCGGCTGGTGGATTCTATTTTTGGTGAAATCAGATTTACTCACGACTGTTTCCACTCGGACTTTAATACAGGTACACCATTGTTTGGTTTCCATGGTAGCGCGTCTCTTTAGCAGCGCGCGCAACTCAAAGTCTGAGAGGGTGAGGAAGATGAAAACTGAACAAGAATAGACAACTCGACCCTCTGATCACTCCTTTCCTGTAAAATACAGCTCAGCACACACATATGCTTCATGGTGCCACAGGCCTTGCCCTTACAACTACAATGAGCATGCAAATGTTAATCGACAGCTCCGGCGATCCACTAGCACCGGAGTCTACAACTGCAGACGCAGCCATCCCCTACTGTAGCGTCACCTTGGATACGAGTCTAAACAGACACACAGGCCAGGGCGCTGAAATGGCGCCCTTTGAGCATCAGATCTGACGACGCTGATTGGCTGAAATTATGTTTCGGCGGCATAGTTTACAGATAGCAACAGTCAGCTTGTTGGTTGCAGCTGCTCTGGCTGAGGGCTCTTTTCTACCGGACGAGAGAGGGTAATGATACACGCTGCGGCCAGGCAGGAAACATGTGACTTATCAGTCACTTTAGACATCGTAAAACAATTTTAAACAAGATTTTATTGTAGATTATACATTTTACTGATACAAACTATTTAATATTGACCTTGTTCTTTACAAAAAAAAAAAAAAAAAAAAAAAAAAAAATTGGAAATATATTTTTTTATGAATTTTTAATTTTTGAATGACAATCAAACATGGGAGAAGAGTGGGGGCGGCGCCCCTATGGACCGGCCGCCACTGATTGTAGCTATCCATGTTGCAGAGGTCAGATGCTATTAGTTGTGAGTCAGCCATAATGATTCAACTTTGCAGTGGAGTAAATACACTATGTTACCTTGTAGTTTAATTCGAAATGCCATTTAAGGCATGCACTGGTTCAGATGGTTATTTGTATACCCCGTGTGTAAACATCCCAGGAGGACAGAATGTTGTTCTGCAGCGTGCCGCCCTGCCCCCCCACTCCTCCAGAGGAAGGGAACCAGTCACACCAGCGCACAGCAGACATGGCTGCCGAGCGCACCGGAGCGGCTCTCGAGGAAACGGACGAGGTTCATTCATCAGATTTGGAGTTTCAGGAACACGGTGGTAACATCCCGAAGAGACATGCTCGGGTTACCGTGAAGTACAACCGGAAGGAGCTGCAGAGGCGGCTGGACGTGGAGAAGTGGATCGACGAGAGCCTGGAGCGACTGTACGCGGGGCAGGTGGGTGGAGGAGCGACTTTAAATACTAAAACAAATCTGTATTGTACAAAAAGCAGTGGTGGAACAAATGTTCAGATACTTTACTTAAGTAAAAGTACAAATACATCAGAGTCAAGATACTCCAGTACAAGTAAAAGTCCTGCATTTAAAATATCGCATAAGTAAAAGCCGGTTATAGGAGTAATATCAGCAAAATGTAATTAAACTATTAAAAGTAAAAGTACTTATTCTGCAGAAAATGTGCCTCCATTTGAGATATTTTATTATGCATGGCATTATTAGAATGTTAATAGTGTTGCATTAATAAGCTATTTACTTTTGTGGACAAACAACGTATGATACATACATTATTGTTGTTTATCTCTTTCTTTTTTTACTTTCTTGTCATGCAATTGGTTATTTGTCCTTTTTACCTTTAACTGATATTCCACTGGTTTGTAATGCAAAGGACAGTACATCTGTTGGAGTAAAAGGGGTGGGGGGTGGGGTGGGGATGATCATTAGGAGGAGAGGTGGCCCACCCTGGTTCTCCTTATCCTGTGCTCCACAGCTGTCCCCTTCCCAGAGATATTTATATGTCTCTGGGCTTGCCTTACATGGTCACTGTGGAACTGAGAGAGAACATAATTTATGTGAAAAAGGATACGGAGCAGAAAAGGAGCTGTTGTTCAAATCCCGGGAGGACACCTCACATCTGGACTCTGAGGCGACTGACGGGGATTAAGGGTCTCTCAAGAGGACATTTTTGGACATGAAGTGCGTGTTTGTGCTGTTTAGCCAAGTATGTTAAATTATAGAACATATCGGCAGATCATCTCAATGACAAGGCAGTTCTTTGAAGCAAAAGGACCAAACAGGGCTCAGTGGATTCAAGGAATTCACAGGCTTTAATTGTCTCATGCATAAAGCTATTTCGTTAGCAAGGAAAATCATAAGTTCCAAGCTCCTCCAACAATGCAACTTACTATATACTTAACATAAAAAGAAAATACACACAATAGTGCAATGGACATTAAATTGCAGGAATAAGACGTCATACATATAAAATAGAATAAGTTAATTTGACATATTATACAGTAGAATAAAAATTTCAATAATATATAAATATGTGTTTTTTTGGAATGAATAGATGTACAGTGTAATTTAAACACAGAGAATGAAGCCTTCAATAAAAGCTTTTTCCCAAAATCAATGGCATATTCACATCAAAACATAGATTTGATGCGGTATTAGGAGAAAATTGTCACTTTGGAAACTCTTATTTTCATTGTAATGGTTCATATCTGTTTTGTTGTATTCTCTAACTACTCTAGACAGGATTTATTTTGTTGAACACACAAACAGAGGTGTGTTTTTCCAGTGAGATGGACCTGGATGTGATCTGTGGGGCTGTAGAGCAGAAGTCCTGTCTGTGTCAATGGGATTACACAGTTCAGTGGTAGCCTGGGCAGATTCCACTGTCCCTTTCTCCCAGCAAAACTGGAACAACGACTGTTTGTTTAAACAGAACAAGCCACTCTCTCATTGCTAAGTGAACATTGTCACCATTCAGCCCTCAGAGCCTAAACATGCAAGTGATGGATATGCAATGTGTGCAGGCAGACTATAAAGTCTTCAGTTGCTCGACACATGGTTCCAGGATGCTAAATATTTCCTTCTGCTATTATCTCCACCAGTACCTGAGGGTTCCCTAGAATGAATTGTTTGTGTAAATGGATCTTGGCTCCAGCGTATATTTACAGTTGCTCCAATATTTGTAGCCTTGGTATTTCTATGGCTGCAGGTCAGTCAGTTTGTTCTTAGGCCACCATGAGGTTCATTCTGCAGTGCAGAGGGAAATAGCTTGTCAACGAATGAATGGATTGCCCTGACATTAGCTACAGTTATTCAATTTCTGTACGGATGATAAATGAACGTTCCCTTTGACCCATTGACTTTCCCTCTTGCAACACCAGATGGTCAGAGTTCATCTTAAATACATATTTCAACATTTAGGCTATTGACGGATTGAAAAGGATTTTTTTTTTAGATATCAGTGGTTCTCAGAAAGTAAACTGTCCTCTGACTTTTCCTCTTGCGCCACCATGAGCGTAACCCTAAACAATTTTTTTCGACCTCACACTGGCCCTCTAAATATTTTACTTTTTTAAAATATATACAATGTCACCTGACATGCTGGTGTCCAATACAATGAGGGAATGATATGGGTGTGGCATTTTGTCTGGTGGTGGAGCAGTCCTTTCTGCAAGCAAAGCTGCAGGGGACTCATGGCCACCACATGGTAAGATACATTTCCATTTTTAACATATTAGCAATGTACACAACTTAAAATCAAAAATATATGCATGTGCGTGAATACGTAAATAAGTAAATTTGATTGTTTGAAGACTTATTATGTATTTATTAATTTGCTAAAACTATGTTTTTTTGTTCGTTGCAAATGTGTGCAAATATGCTCAGCTGTAAAATGATAAACCTAGTCAATGTTTTTACTTTACCATCTACTGATATTTAAAGGAAATGGACACCAAAACATGTTATGGGCAGAAGGGACACAATCAGGCTGTTAGGGCTATTCCGACTGACAGTGAGGACAGTGAAGATCAAGATAGGGTTAGGCACACAGACAGACAGAGACACACACACACACACACACACACACACACACACACACACACACACACACACACACACACACACACACACACACTGTCTCTGTCGCCGGATGCTGGCTAGTGACGCCCTACACACACACACACACGCACGCACGCACACACACACACTCTCTTGTGGCTGGACACTGGCTAGTGCTGCCCTACACACACACACAAGCACACACACACACACACACACTCTCTCTTTTGGCTGGACGCTAGCTAGTGCCGCCCTACACACACACACACGCACGCACA